TCACAATTTACAGTTTGTGACTACCGTCTTTTTCCCTCTGTACTCTTTAGTTGGTCTTTACACTGAAATGGAGATGTACTGTTTCAAAAAATGAAAATTTGTTTACTATTGAACTTGAATTGTGACTTTTTCACTGCAACCATTCCGGCTTAACAAAAATAAAACCAAACCCTGCAGCGAGCTAACGTGAGAAAATGGCAACTGTTATTTGAGTCCCGTTTTCACATGTGACCTGAAGCACTTGCAAGCGCTGCAAAACCCTTACAAAATGCCTTGAGTGTTGGCTAACCTTGGGATCGTGAGGTAAAATATAAACATCCGAGCTGATAAGGCTAGAGTACTTTGTCTCTCGTGACTTGGACACTGACTCGGCGAGATAAAAATTTGCGTCTCAACGGAAAAGTTACTGGTAGAAAGCATGAACATCGAGGTCCTTTACAAACATAAGCATTGCCTGGAAGTAGTATTTTAAAATCTGTCTCAAATATCTTCTTCTCCTTTTTGTTCTTCTTCGTGTTGCTGTTGCTGTTGTTGTTGTTGGTAGTGGTGGTGCTGTTGGTGGTGATGTTGTTGTTAACGTTATTGTTGCCGTTATTGTTGTTGGTGTCGTTGTTGTAATTGTCGGAGTGTTGTTGTTGTTGCCGTTACTGTTGTAAAGTCGACTTACAGGAACAGTGCTGCAATGCCAACTGGTAGGAAAAGTGGTGGAATACAAACGATTAACCAACAACAACAAAATACAAGACTCCACGAACATGCCCTCTGAGATGGGGTGGCTACCAAATAAATTACACGGTAGCTTAACACCAGAATCGTATAAAACACCGGAGAGGTGTCAGAGGATATAGGGCACAAGTCAGTCTTTGAAAATGAAATGGTGAAATGGTATGGGTTTAACGCCCCTATCAACACTATTAAGTTATTTAAGGGGTGGGACCTCCTAGTTTAACGTCCGTTTCCGATAGGACCGAGCCAAGTGGGAAGTTCGTGTAAAGTGTCTTTCCCAAGGACACAACGTCGGACAGAGCTGAGGCTCGAACCCCGAACCCGCATTTTCACTATTTCGAGACCGGTAGCCTAACCACTAGGCTACAGACACCACCAAGTCAGTCTTTGCAGCAGTGCCAACAGAAAGAAAAGGAAGAAGAAAGAAAAGACATGGAGCAGCAGAATACGAAACGCATAGGAAGATCAGTCTTATGTGTCATCTTTCTATCTAAGTCCTCTAGCAGGTATTGGTGATAGAAAAGAGAAACAAAATACTGCCAGAAATCTGTGATATTCAATTTGGATTTATTGTGGTTTAAGGTGCCAAAATGCCAATAATCATCCTAAAGATGCCATGGAAATATCAATCGAGGTCGAAAAAGACCGTTACCTCCACTTCACTGCCAAAATAAGACATGAAGAAATGTTTGATATTCAACATCATAACTGATCGGAACATTGATGGGGGCTCCAGTGGCTAAGCAAGTAGTGGGTTTAGACTCAAGAGTAATGTCAAGTGTCAAGCAAGTGTCGGTGACACGGGGATCAGATGTGTGGTCAGTGGGGGTGTGTCCTTGTGCAAGATACGACAACCCTAGCTCAACAAGCAGGGCGCTGTACAGTGGCGACCAGCAATGGCATAGCTGTGACTTTGTTCTGCATTGGTGTACTATTGTATATTATTAATGTATGCATATATGTATGTATATTTTATATATGTATGTTTTCATAATTCTGTATTTATGTATGTATGTCTGCAATTGTAAAAAAAAAAATTGCCTTTCTGGGTAAATAAACATGTAACATAATAATATTATTATTGTTATTATTTTTAAAAATCAAGGAATCCTGTGAAGCCTGTATTAAATTGGGACAGTTGGCAGCAGCCGGGGTCTAGCTTCGTAAATACCGGTCAGTCCACAAAAGAGCATGACAAGGGCGTTTTTGTGTTGTTGTTTTTTGTTTTTGTTTTTAATCTCTTTAAGAAATGAATCTGCATAACACCCGTGATCTGGGTGCAGTCAAGTTAGGCGGCCTCAATATATACAATCAAGGATAGTATTGTTCATGTTAAGTGATTCTGAGTCAAAGCTCCAAGAAGATTTTATCAAGACAAAAGTGAAAAAAGGGTCTACATACAGCTAGATGCCAAGGTAACATGTGTTGATATTTGAGTATACCTAAATCCCAGAATGCAAATTCAAATACATTATGTAAGAACGAAAATATAAAATAGGTCTAAAGCTGTAAATACTTTGATTATACAATTACTCAAGGTGCACAAAAAAGTGACACACAGTTAGAAAAGAGGATGGCAATAATCTATCAGCTTTGAACATGACGAATCCTGTCCTCTCAAAGTGTAACATAACAATGGACGTAGAGATAAGAACCCTGAGAACGTAGGAGGGCTCAGTTATTTTGCGTGGCTACGAAATCTGCAATCTCAACAAGGACACGGAAAGAATACTGGAAGGTGCGGCTTAAGTATGGTATTTCAGGAGATTATTCGAGATCTCAAGGACATAGACGAAAACAAAATGATGATATAATAAGAAAGTGCTCTAAATTGCAGACGGTGGAATATCTTAATCATAGAAAGAAACACTTGATGTCTTTGGCAGAACTAAAAGAGCAAAGAGACTTGTTTTAAAAAAACAAAAACACTTTTGAGTCGAAATAATATTATAGAGGGAAAGAAGAACAGAGGAAGACGTAAAAGGACATTCACATACAGCCTGAACAACTTTGCAACAACTAACAGAATGAGAAACACCAAGCTGATCTGGGAAACCAACAGAAAGGAGAGGGGTATCACGTTGGTCAGTGTCTGCTCTAGACTTGACCCCCACCCCCTCCTCCTCCAGAGCAGTCCTACTGACTGAAGTGTTGTTAAGCATTTTTTCAAAAATTAAAGGGGGAGGGGGGGTAATAACTTGTTCTTATGCACATTAGGATTGTTGTAGATAGGCTGATTTATCAGCGTCTTGCTCATACTGTGGCGGAACAACATAGGGGAAACTTTCTTCATCATTACTATCGTCATTTTTCCTCAACTTGTTTTGTATGTTTGTCAATCTCTTGTGAACTGCTATTCCAGGAGTGCATTGATAGTCCAAACAGACGTTGTATTGTTGAGGCTAGAGATGTGAGCAGAGTTAGCCTGATTCCTCGTATGGACTTCTCTGTTGACTTCCACCCATTGGCGCTCATAAGACCATATGCAGTTGCGAACGCTGTAAAACCTTATAAAAACTAATAAACTAAGCCTACCTGACATCTGAAGAAGAAGAATGGTTATCCCAGTCGCAACTGGGCACACAGGGCAGGAGTTTTGTTCTAACAAAAGGATGTTTCTTGAGTATCAGATTTAGATGGATTTTTCTGTGGTTGTTGCATTTTACTCTGCCTGAGATGAGCAAAACATGCAGGATCCAGGAGGCCAGGCAGCCTCCCATTGTTATTCTAAATACGTGTATTGTCAATATGAGAACCAAACATTTGCATATAACACTATCTCTCTTCTCTCTCTCTCTCTCTCTCTCTCTCTCTCTCTCTCTCTCTCTCTCTCTCTTTTCTTTTTTTTTCTCTCTCTCTCTCTCTTTCTTTCTCTGTCTCTCTTTCTTTCTATCGATTTTTCTATCTCTCTGTTGTTTATTTAAGTAAACGTGTATCATCATCATCCGGTGCCTTGCCGACTGGCGTGAGCGATCATTGACCTCCACTTCATCCTGTCTTGCGTTGCAGCAATGGTGTCTGTTGTTCTTGCTGCTCCTAGCCATGTTGTTATCTTGTCCAGTATCTTTTCCCTCTGTCTACTTCTGCCTCTCTTTCAATCAAACGTGCATAGATTTATATAAATAAATTCTTATAGCTAAAAAAGATAACGCCAGCACCATCTCTATCCGCGCGGTGTTTATATTAATGCACTGAGAGTCGTGCCATTCGAGGATACGTATTTGTCTGATAAATGTATAGGATATTCCAGTCAAAACGAAAATAATAAGGGTGTTCCATGCTAAAATAGAAAATTACAGTCCAGTTCTAACGTGTTTACATTCGTCTGTCCGAATTTTAAAAGAAGGAAAAAAAAGCAGTCTAGCTCATGTATTGATTTGCCAATATGCACTTCACTATGCAAGGTACGCTTATATGACACCAAGCTTTTATTTTATTTTTTGTTATTTCTTAATCGAGTTAGTTGGGTGTTTTTTTCCAAGTTTCATTATTTGAATTTGGTCCCTATAATAAAAACTGCAGTTTGATTGTACAAAGTCATAACCTCAGGATCACATAAATGAATTTTAAAAACAAACTAAAGTAGGCTAAATTATTGTTTGTTTTTTCCTACTAAGGGCCTGTAGATGTCTTTACGTGAATTTTGAGACGTACTCGTTTCTTGGACAGTGTCGCATAGGCATGTGCTGAAATTTGGTTTTCAAAGTAGGTCAATTTTTCATAATATCTTTGACGGATACGTAACTCTGAAGCCTCTATCTTGTTTGCCCTTTTAGGTTAGCATCACAGAAATGAAGCCGGAACCTTACATTGCATAGGCCTACTTTAGTAGTTTTCTTCTTTTTATGGGGGATGAGGGTGGCGGGCAATTAGATTTCGTTGGTGAAGCAACTTTTAGACTTGTGTGCAAATACCTGAGAATGTAAGACTAAGCGATTTCTTGTTTTTATGCTTTAATCTCAGACCGGCGAACATGAACAAGTTGTAGATAATTTGGCAGGTCAAGGCTATCCTTTTTTTTTTCTTTTCAATTTGTATATTTACTCTTTCGTGTTTGTATTTTTTGTTTGTTTGTTTTTTTGTGTGTCTTTTCAATGTCAAACCAAGGTCTGTAGCATTGAGCACAAAAAAGTGTTCTTTCCTCACTCGTGGCATATCTCACGGTTTTTGTATAAATAGAACGAGACCTCAAGCTGTTTTGTGTTTAAGCATTTGGCTTAACAGGTGAGTGTTCCTAGCGACTGCCTGACTGTCATGTCATTGTGAGAATATCTTTACTTAATTAGAACATGTTCCGTGAACGTAAGACATCTCAAAAGTAATCTTAGAAAAAAACCCGCTTCTGTTTAACTTTAAAAAATCAGACGTTTGCCATAAGCTATCAAATTACTTTCAGAAAGGTGTGGTGCTCTAACATGAAACCAAAGAGGTTAGAATACAATTATTGAATACTATATAATACTACTGATTATACAATGTTACTATATAATAAATTTTCAAGCCGAGACCAAGAGTTCATTTGTCTGAATGTTGTAACAAACGCGTTTGTCATCGTGTGAGACAAACAGGAATACTGAGCTTCTTCCGACTGAATCGAAGCCAGTTTATCAGCAGTATTGAATACAAAGTTGTGCTTTACTTTTACTATTATTTTTACCCGCCGCTTATACCCTTTTGGGTGTCGCGGGAAGAAAGATACGTCTCTCTGCCGCTAGCCGGAGAGCTTGGGTCAGGGGGATGTCGTGAGTTGTTAGTGTTTCCCCGACTCCATCTATCCAGGTCTTTCTCCGTCGCCCTCTAGCCTTGTTGCCATTGAATTGTTTATGTAGGCAGTAGGCACGTTGTACATACGGTGTGGCTATATGCCACGGAGGCGTCACGCTAGCCGTGAAGGAGAACCAGGTTTACCCCGAAAAGTTGCAGGCTAACGGGGCTCTGGTGAAACTGTGACAGGCCTAGCACGTCGGCAGTGGATTATTTATTGCTACAGAAACTAATAGAAAACTAATAAAACTAAGTTGCGCAATACTAGACAAGAGCCAGTCGTCCTAATCGTTGCCTGCCTCGTCCTTCTGTCTCAGTCCTATCGGCGTATTGCTGAGCAGGAGACTCCAGTGTACTTGGCTCTAATTGTGTGTTATGTCTAAGCTGCTATCTAGATCAATTATAACTGACTTAACAAATCCACCTCTTCTTCTTTCCAGTATTTTTGGTCGAAGAGACTGTTTTCATGACATTTTGACCAGTAAGATATCAAAAGGCATGTCCAAACTTTCTCCTTTTTAATTTGTCCCACGAATCAAGAGCTCTCGAATTGCATTGCTGGTTGTTTTGTTTTGTTTTGTTTGTATTTGTACCGTACTCGTTATTTTTTTGTGAGCTGTCAGTAACGCCACGGTGGGAGTATGTGTTGTTTCATCTTGATCTGTCTCGACTGACAGTGGTTTATCTCCACTGCTGGTGCAGCAAACAGAGTCAGTCACCAGTCCCAGGGTGGAGGTTGAGACCACATCTCTCCATGAAGGAACCGTCCAACTCCAGTGTGATTATGTGTGTGATTAAATGTCATCTCAAAGCAGCAGTTTTAATACTTTGCGGTTATTTGGCGCAATAATGCAACGGTGAAATTTATCCCTTCTCAGTCACCTGGCCAGGTCCGAGAAGTCCGTTGTAGTCACTCTCCTGGCTGGGTGACTGGAACGGATAATTGTCACCGTCGTATTACTGCGCTTACTGATCGCAAAGATAGAAAACTGCTGCATCGAGATCACTTTCAATCAACAGGGCTGTGTAACTTCAGAGTGTTAACGTAATAATCTTTTCTCATGAAAATTGAAAATCTCTTTTTTTTTTCTTAGAACACGGTAGAGTGGAAATCGATCACTCTTATTCTAATGGGCAAAATCTTATCTGTGCGAGGTTGCTTCTGTTTCTTCTGTATTGTATAATGACATGAGTAAAGGTCTTCGTGACACTCTCACGACCAAACTGTATACGACATGTCCAAGAAAGCCTCTTTTTTGTTTTACATTTATTTTTTTCCAGATTCAAAACCTATTTAAATTTCTTCAAGCCCGGTGGGCACTCCGGTATTTCTTCTCTAACCATGTTCTGTCGTCTGCTTTCGTCAACATTTTCAGCCCCCTTACCCCTCCCCCTCCCCCCTTTGCCCCTTCCTCTGGGTTCCAGACTCTTTCTGCAGCCTTTCTACTGCTACTCCTTGGCTCCTTCTTATTGCTGTCTTTCAGCCATTCCCTAGATTTTATGGTAAGTAAGATCTACAACAAGCTGTCTCGGAATAGATCTAAAAAATCTCGGAATTCGCTTGTACAAGTTGCGAACGTTAAAGATCTCTTGGTGGTCCCAAAACCGAGACGAGTAGGCTTTAACAATACTATTATAGTTCCTACCAGACTGAAATTAATGTGTAACGTGCCCTCATATTATCTTATGCAGTTGCGAGTGCGGTAAAACACCAAAACAAACAAAGAATACTATCGTTATCAGCGGCAGACCCTTTTAACGGTGGGGGGGGGGGGGTGGGGGGTGGAGGGGGGTGCTTTTACATAGCAGATTTTGGTCTATGTGTACGTGTCCAGTGGGGGGGGGGGGAGCGGCGGCTAGGGGTGCTAAGTAAGTGGTCGTTATCCTATTTAGAGAGTCCAAAAACATTCTAGACATTGAAACAACCTTGACTTGTAAGATGAACACACGAACAGTGCGTGGACATTAATTTTCCCTCGAGTCCTAACAATGGGGACTCATCCAACCGTGCATGCTTTGGTATCAAATGAAAAAAATGAATTGCTCAGGTAGTAATGTTTTGAAGTACATGCATTCCTTGACCAAGTAGCCACTGCATACTTCATTAAATACACGAGCAACTTTATACAATTAAATTTCCATATCAATAAATTAAATAGTTAGGCCAGGTCAGACCACGATGACTTGACCCAGGCCATGAAAATTCCGGAAAAATCCTCGGATTGGAGTTTTGAATAAAGTCGAGGCCTGAGGTAAAAACAAACAAAACAACAACAAAAACGTGAAATGTGTATGTTTTGTCCTATCTAAGGACAGACCGACCGTTCAATGGAGGGCGCACAGGCCTCGTTTCTTACATGTGCCGAGTCCCCGGCCTTGTTCTTATCTCTTATCATTCCTTACAGATGTTCTGCCATCTCCGGTGAAAATGATAAATTCGGTGGGGTGTTTTAAAATTCACGGCCGGTGTCAAAATTATTAGATAGCATTTGTATAGCGTAAATCCCCGCTCAACAGAAAACTCTATGCTCCCCACAATCTATACTATTACCCTAGTAGACCTGAGAGCATTCTGAAACAAACTCAACTTTCTGGGAAGCATACAGTGCAAGCAGCCATTTACAGGCGCTAAAACACTAACATACTGACAAGATCTTTCGCTGTCTGTGGCCGGGTACCCATTTCCACCTGGGTGAAGTGAGAAAAATTCGTGTAAAGTGCCTTTCCAAAGGACACAACGTCGGACCCACGGCTCGAATCCCCGAACCCGCAATGATTCAACGTCGGTGGTAATGAGCGTTAATAAGGTGATATTTCAGGCGACAACGGTGGGTTCTTAATAGTAGAAAAACTATAATGATATTTCAAACTTGACGTCTCGTTAGCATGTTTTGTTCACGCATTCTAGTCCCTAAAGATCGCTTGAATACATTCTGTTTAGGGACACTGCAATTTAAAAAAAATAAGCACAACTTCTTTATCCACGTTCATATTTCAACTGTTTTTTATGTGGGTTTTTTTTGTTGTTCTTTTTTATAGATAAAATATTCTAAACGCTCTCAAGAACCTTTCGAGGGTTGGGGGCTCCACTGGCAGGTCCTACTTCTTCACTTTTCCTCTGTTGTGTCTATCTGTCTGTCTTACTTTTTCAAGCACTAAATGGCCATTATTGTATCGATGCTCTTCTCTTTACACAAACAACCCCCCCTCCCCCCTCCCCGACCACACCCCCATGACAAAAAGAAAGTCTAAAATTGGCCATCAGACGAAAGAGAAAGTAGAAATCTCTTAAACGCCTGTGTGTATTTCAGAATGACGCCATTGTACCTTGTGTCCGCCCTCCTCTTGGTGGGAGCCCCATGCCTGGTTCTTGGTGAGTCTACCAGTGTGTTTGATCGTCTATCTGTCTCTGAATGTTTTGCGTTGAAATGTGTCGTCTTAAAGAATGCTGCGGGTAGTTGGGGGGGTCAATGGTAGGTCCTACTTCTTCACTTTCCCTCTGTTGTTTCTGTCTATCTGTGTGGGTGGTTCGAGGGTGTCACTGGTAGGTCCTACTTCTTCACTTTCCCTCTGTTGTTTCTTTCTGTCTGCGTGGGTGGTTGAAGGGTGTCACTGGTAGGTCCCACTTCTTTATTTTCCCTTTGCTGTTTCTGTCTGTGTGGGTATTTGGAGGGTGTCAGTGGTAGGTCCTACTTCTTTTCTTTTCTCTCTTTTGTTTCTGTCTGTGTGGGTGGTTGAAAGGTGTCATTGATAGGTGCTACTTCTTCACTTTCCCTCTGTTGTTTCTGTCTATCTGTGTGGGTGCTTGGAGGATGTCACTGGTAGGTCCTACTTCTTCACTTTCCCTCTGTTGTTTCTGTCTATCTGTGTGGGTGCTTGGAGGATGTCACTGGTAGGTCCTACTTCTTCACTTTCCCTCTGTTGTTTCTGTCTGCGTGAATGGGTGGTTGAAGGGTGCCACTGGTAGGTCCTACTTCTGCACTTTCCCTCTGTCATTTCTGTATGTTTGGGTGGTTTGAGGAGGCCACTGGTAAGTCCTACATCTTTTCTTTCTCCTCTGTTATTTCTGTCTGTCTATCTTACTTTTTCCCAGCACTAAATGAACATTATTGTAGTGGTGTGCTTCTCTTTAATGAAACAAACAAACAGAGAGACAAACAAACTAGCAAATCAAGAATGGTTGTTCAGTTACTAGTCTCTGTGGTATGTGCAGGTATATTTGTGAATTTACGTATGTGTAGACCTAATACTACGTGTGTTCCACTGACGGAACACAATTAAGAGCACCTAGAAAGAAATTTAGATCTTTTGGTGAGAGAGGTGTCTCATTTTTTTGCCCTAAAAGTTGGAAATCTCTGCTTATGGTGTCAATGTATACAAGTATGTGTGTGCCATTGTGTTTATGTTTGTGTTTGTTTGTAAAACAGTATGAGTCAAAATGCAATTATCAAAAGTTTGGAAAGCAAGCAACATCTCACTGCGCACCAAGATTCGACTTTTTAACTCCAACGTCAAGTCTGTGCTCATCTACGGCTGCGAAACTTGGAAGTCAACGAAGACAGTACTGAATAAGGTCCAGACTTTCATCAACAAATGTATGATGAGTATTTTAAGAATTAAGTGGCAGGATAGAATAAAAAATGAAGAGCTGTGGGAAAGGACAGGACAATAGGATATAGAAGTAGAAATAGGACTAAGAAAGTGGCGATGGGTGGGACACACCTTACGAAAGCCCAGCGGAAACATCAAAAGACAGTCACTGCAGTGGAACCCACAGGGAGCACGAGGCAGGGGTAGGCCACGGGAAACATGGAGGAGATGCGTGGAAACGGACATGAGAGAAATGAAGCTCACTTGGAACGAGCTTGGAAAGATGGCTCAGGACAGAGATAAATGGAAGGAGCTTGTATGTGGCCTATACCCTGCTAGGGGTGAAAGGCATTGATTATGATGATGATGAGTCAAAATATGTTTCTTGATGAACACTCGAGTAAAAGAATAAATATGCTTTCTACATTAACAAGTACACAAGTACACATAGCCACTGTTTAACCACGCCCCCCCCCCCCCCCCCCCCACACACAATATCGCCCATTCTGTCAGGAGCCAAGAACTATGGGCAAGCTCTGGGACTGTCCATCAAGTTCTACGAGGCCCAGAGGTCCGGCCCCATCAACGACAACATTGTCCCATGGCGCGGCAACTCGGCCATGAGCGACTGCACTGTGGGAGGCTGGTATGATGGTATGTTATGTCATTTCTTTGTCAGAACTGTGGTGGGAGGGTGGTATGATGGTACATGCTGGGAGGCTGGAATGACGGTACGTCATTTCCTTGTTAGAGCCGTGGTGGGAGGGTGGTGAGACGGTATGTGGTGGGAGGGTGGTATGACGGTATGTTGTGGGAGGGTGGTATGATGGTATGTCATGTCTTTGTCAGAACCGTGGTGGGAGGGTGGTATGACGGTGGTGGGAGGCAGGAATGACGGTACGTCATTTCTTTGTCAGAACATTGGTGGGAGAGGGAGGTGATACAGTTTCAAAGAACTTTTTTCCCCCTTAAAGTCACGTTTGCCTTGTGCCTGACTGCTGTTTTTTGCTTATTTGATCAACGTTTTTCGCTAAAGTCCGTGCAGAAATGCCTTTTAGGTGACATAGAAGGTGCAATTATAAAAAGATAAGATATTTGTTGGGTTTTTTAAAGGGGGGGGGGTTACACCTTAAGGCTATCTCGCTTATTAGAGGACCGAATTTTACCTTATTTCATGCATATAACGAAGATAGTTTGGAGTCTTAAAATCCGTAATCAAATTTGAGAAAAAAGGTTTCATTTCCATGGATACGGCGGCCATATCAGATTTTGTTGACATGTCGTACGTAATGAATACCACACTTATCGCTCATGGAAAACAATTGTTGTTTTTTAATGCTGGTTAGCATTAGCAAACATTAGATCTAAAAATATGTCTGTTGATTTTTTCGTAAACGGGTTAGAACATTTTTAATGATTTTTTTTGTGAGGTAATATTCAAATTTGCAAAAAATCCCTGAAAATCCACACTCCAGACACCACCAAAAAATTTTATTCTATTTATCAAAAATTCAATAAACCAGTTTTTGGTATTACTTTTAGACCTTTTCTTAATTCCTGAAAATTTCATGAAGATTGGATAAAAGATAGCGGGGTTATTTATATAAGTATAGGGAAAAATTGCGTTTTGAGATAACAGCAGATAAAGAAAAATAAAATAATTATTTTCTTCATGAGGAAATGGTGGTGACAAACATGCCCAGTATGAGAGGAAACAAGGCTTTTGAAGATTCCTTTGCGATAATATAATTATAGGGGAGGCTGAGACAGCAGCTAAAGATGCCTGAAACTCAAATTCCTTACTTTTTGAGTCGAATCGGGATTTTTTAGGTGTACCCCCCCCCCTTAATCAATGACGATTTTCAACATAGAGGGAAAAACGTCAATTTTTTCAATGTCATTTTTTTTTTCACTCGAACTCGATTTCGCCACGAAACCACGTTGGCGTTTTTTTGCTCTTTTTGTGTTCCCTGTTCCCTTTTCCCACATCTCACAAACGCTGTTTGCTTTCTCCCCTCCCCCCAAACCAACCCCCACCAACCAATACCCCCAACCACCCCCACAAACAACCCCCCCCCTTTCCCCTTTTGCCTTGCCTTGCACCTTCCAGCCGGAGACCACGTCAAGTTCGGACTCCCCATGGCTGCTACTACCCACATCCTTTTGTGGTCCCTGTACCGCTTCAAGGACGGCTACGTCAGAGCAAACCAGCTGAACCAGATGTACCATATGATTAAAACTCCGCTCAACTATTTCATGTCAGCCTGGGACGAACAGCACCATAGACTGACTGCCCAGGTGAGTTGTAATTTTTTAAGTAAAGTTTTACGACGCTCGCAACTAGTACTGCATAAGGTCATATTGTTATCATCGCCAACAGGGAAGTCCAAACGGGGAATCAGGCTTACTCAGCTCACCTTTATAGCCTCAACAGCACAATGTTTGCTTCGACTGTCAAGGCACCCCGAAAATAGCCGTTCACAAGAGAGTGAACGTACAAAAGAAGTAGAGAAAAAATCGATAGTAAGGATGAGGAAAGTAAAAAGCAGCAGTTCTCCGTATGTTGTTCCAGCACAGCATGGGCATGGCCCATTTACATTCTTACTGTGCATAAGAGAATGTTAATACCCCCCTTTGGGCATGGCCTAGAGACACTCCAGTCAGTAGCACTGCCCTTGGGGGGGGGGGGGGGGGGAGCTGGCTGCCCAGGTGAGAGACTGCGAGAAGTTGATCAGTACACCCCGCATTGTCAGGCATCGTGGTGAAATCATCATCGCTCTTCTCAAACAAGGCAATCGGAAAACTTTTCAGCTCAACACCTTTCATAGCCATTCTAAAACACTTTTTAGCTTAGAATTTACTGAAAAACCTTGATCGACGGCACAACAATGTACATGTACAGTTTCCATGAACATTACTGCTTGGAAAGTAATCAAACTTTGGCGGCCATTCTCTCGCTAATTTTAAACCTGACAACACAGAGCAACCCACCCCCCCCCCTCCTCCGTACCCCACCCCATCCTACAATTGTATAATAGGTCTGTGTCAATATGTTCAGGACAAACGCGTAGTTTTTACCACTGGGAACGACAAAGAAACAGGCGTTAAGACAATATCAAGCGCTGGTCAAAACTGACCTTGCGAATTTTGGAAAAACCATTTTTCGATTGTTCTAAGTCACTGCTCCCCAATTGTTCTAAGTCACTGTTCCCCAATTGTTCTAAGTCACTGTGCCCCAATTGTTCTAAGTCACTCCTCCCCAATTATTGTTTTAATACCCTGGCCCCATTGGCACGATCGGTATGGTTGGGTAGGCGGGGCTAACCAAATCGAATGCAGAAAACGACCATCGTGACACAAACCGAACTAAGTCGACGCGCCGACGGTGCCCCAAGAAAGCAAACCTCAGTGCTGTCTGGTCCTATCTCCATTTTAATAATAGTGAAAACAGTTTGTTCATAATAACAAAGAGTAAGCTACAGAAGAAGTCACCTTTTCAATGTTCAAAATAAAAAGGGGGCAGGGCAAGAAAGCACTGTGGTCGCGAGACCCTTTTGTTTTCAAGGCCGCGAGTTGGGACATCCGTTTGTACTATCAGTAAACCGGAAGCATGCCAGTTTGTCACAGGCATAGAGTTACCTCCTTTTAAACTAGAGTCCGTACGAGGTTTCGTGACACGGACACATTTGAGTTTGTTGGCGGCCATTTTTAATGTGGCTAAAAAGTTTGTTTACATTTGAGTGGGCGTGTCTCTGCTCTTAGTCTTATGTGTTTTATTTGATTCTAACGTTATGTTTTGATTCAAAGCGATTCTCTTAAAGGTGCAAGCATGTGAAACCTCTTGTCCCTTTCTGGATTAACGTCTTTCTGGTTCTGTCAGGCAGTTCAGTGATGTCTGTTTTCTTTTATTACATCATCTATTTTTAGTGCATAATATGTCTTATAGACACAAATAGTCACTCCGGGTTTCTTTTTTAAAACATAAAGAGCCATCAGTAAGGTTCTGGGCCATTTGAAGTTAAGGTTGACTAGCAGCTAGATATTTTTCACAATGGGCAGGAAATTTCTTTATCAAACTGAAACAGTGTACTTTTTATTGTTTTGTTTTATTAAATATTGTCCAAAAACACCTTAGTAAAGGTTTTTGTTTCAGTTATCACTACACTTAGTAGAAAAACAATTGACTAGGCTACAAAACAACGTTTAAGTTCACTTTTCTTATCTTTAGTGAGTCCAGAGTTGTCACAGTTGCTTTACTAATGTCCAAAATTAGACTTACTTAAAACAGCAATAGGAGGAGCTTTAGTTTAAGTGCTGTATATGGTCTACTTTAGTTCTTAAAATCAATATAAACCAAAGTTTAATACCGACATAAGAAAACACTACTTATAATCGACATAAGAAAACACTACTTATAATTTAGTATACTTTTTAAAAAAGTGAACATATGAATGAAAAATACAGTTTCCTGTTCAAATGTCACATGGGAAAGTTTAACTCGATTTTAAAAATACCAGTACATGTATTCATCATTTGTTTGGCTGAATTTGCTTTATTAAGAGCTTCATTGCATTCCTACACCTAAAGGCTGAAAAACTCTGGAATTTTTTTCCCTATGGCTCATCCTCATTTAATTTAATGGCAAACTCATTTATCTGAGGGAGGCCGGGGGGGGGGGAGGGGGTGTTGGTATTGGGATACGGGAGGAGAGAGAGGGTGGGATGGTTATAGGAGGTTCCCATGACACCCACATCTTTTCATACTTCTTTTTAAAAGTTCTATAGGCCCTATACGCTTTGATTCGGTCAATAAGAAATAAACCACCTCGTAGATAAAGTGCTGATGAACAAATAAAGGTTGGGTTTTTTTCTTCTTTTTTTTAAAGCCCATATCTCTATCTCTATCTATTTAATAATACATTTATTTGTAGATCTAGTTGTAGAAAGAACGCCGTATTATTGCAATTTAGTAATTTAGATATAGTACGCCACGGCGCCCATGTAAAAAAAAAAAATCAACAAGAACCAAGCCTCGCCTGTCGCGTATGAGAGAGAGAGAGAAAACATGCCTAGCCCATTGCTTTAGCATGAACTCCTTCACACAACTTGCCACAAAAAATATGGACGCCGCTGTCAAATGTGGCCATCGCGCAGCAAGGCGAGAGAGGGGCGTACAGTATCTAGTACATTCTATGGTCACAGGCCAAACCAGTCACGAAAACGTGCCAAATGCCTTTAAACCTTAGCAAAACTTTTTTTTAAACGAATCTTTTTGTGTATGTAAAAGTGCACTCAAAAATGAAAATTATAATGCTTGACAAAGGATAAATAAAATGCGGACTTCCACGATGTTGATCTATGTTGTTTCTTTTATACAATGTACTTTAGATACAAACATTGATACAAAAACACACGCAATGTAAATTATCTAAGACCATTTAACTCTTCAAAGCCAAGCGAGGACGACAAAGAAAGAAGTGGTCAGACAACATCAAAAAGTGGACAGGCATGACCCTGGCTTCTTGGTGCAGGCCTCTGATGGCCTGTGACAAACTGGGCCTGAGAATAATAATAAATAATAAAATGACCTTAGCAGTTGCGAGCGCCGTAAAACCCTATACTATACAAATAATTAAAAGCATTTGTATAGCACGTGTCCCCACTCGAAAGCAAGTTCTATGCGCTTTACACTATAATAATATAACTAGGCAAACAAACTGGGCAGCCCCCACCCCACCCCCAGTCAACCAACCACTCAGTGGACACAGAGTATATGTCACTGCTCCCCCCCCCCCCCCCCCAACACCCCCTCCCCCACAGGTCGGAGATGGTGGCACTGACCACAACTACTGGGGACGTCCGGAGGACATGAAGATGTCCAGGCCCTGCAAGTACGTGGACAGCAACCACGTGGGAAGTGACGTGGCTGGAGAGACGGCAGCATCGCTGGCCCTGGGGTACCTCACCTTCAAAGACAAAGGTCAGTGGACCTACCTGTGTTGTGTAACTGTAGAGCTGGGCGAAGAATTGATTCCTCGATCGATTCCCAAGATCAATAATGCTTCGGAAGAAAGGTTCCGACTCCCTTTTACGTAAACCATCGGTTACCAGTTACTTTTAATATTTGAAAAAAATTCCTTTTTTTCTTTTTTTTAGAACGTATTTAAAAAGAAAATGAAAGTTTATGCTTCGTAAATCGTTCCGAAATCAAGGTTATCCTAAATCCTGAAGATGTCCGGAGCCAACCAGGTAACCACCGGAAGAAATCACATCCTTAGAAAGTAAGCAATTGGGTTCAGAGTCGATTCATACGATTCCTATATTTCAATAATCGGGAACCAAGCCGCCCAGCACTATGTAGAGCTGGGCGAGGAATCGATTCGGAATCGATTCCCTCGGGTAATGCTACAGAGGAAAAGTTCCGATTCTTCTTTTTACGTAAAC